AATTCGAACAAATTCGAACAAAACATTCGAAATAGAAAGCCACTTTCAACCACTTTCAAGCCCATATCTCCCGCACCCTTATAGCTATCGAGACGCAACCACCATAGTGCACGAATGGAGACTTGGGGCTACTACCACATACAAACACCATTCACGTGCGATGTGTAGTTTTGGCGGAAAAGTGAAATATAGGGACATACATGTCCATTTTTAGATATAGATATAGATATAGATAAACGAATTTGTGCATTCCACATCGTGTTGTAAATTGCCGAATTTTTGATGGTCCAACCATTATTTTTTTTTTATTGTTTCATCTCATGCATTTAAATTTTAAATTGGCCGATTTTAGATTAGATTGTCGTGCGTACCCCTTCATGCAATTTCGCGAACCCCCGGGAGTACGCGTACCACTAATTGGGAACCACTGGTCTACAGTGATATCTTTAAATTCAAATTTTCATTGACATTCCAAACAGCATTTGTGTTTTTAATGAACTTTACATTTTCTGGATTTTTAAATGTAATATAATTGTTTTTACAATACCTAATCATTGGTGGACATTTGTGTCTTTTACATGATTAACTGAAGCTGTAGCCTCAAATAGATTGAGCTCCAGTGTGTTTTAGATGAGTTCCTGATGTGAAAAGGGGCAACAGAAGATGCTGTTTGGACTATCTACATTTATATTTTTTATAAACTTTAGTGTCCTGGATTTTTAAGTGTTATATATATATATAATCTTTAAGTTTTTTCCCCTTTGCTCTCCTCCGCTTAGATTAGTGCATGGATGTGCTTTCTATGCAGTAAAAAAATCACTGACTGACTGTATATATATATATATATATACAGGAATCAGAGTTGCCAATTTTCGGGAGTTGATTTCTCCACCCCCAAACACCTGAAATAATTCCAAATATCTCTTCCAAAGAAAATTGTTTTCTTAGGTAGTGTGAAAAATTTCAGGTTTTTCTATAAAGGGGTTGCCAAAATATAAGCAATTGAAAAATGCAAAAATTGCCAAAAAAAAAAGCTGTATTTGCTTCTTCATCTGGTATTGCAGACAATCCTAGAGAAAAACTACTGGGTGTAGAAAGCTCAAATTTTAAACTTAAGCCTTTCTTGTTATCAGTGAGGTGCTTGTGAAACTTCCAGGTCGATAGGTCAAAGTTCACAGGAGTTTCCCGTGGAGCTAATTCAGTTTTACAGCTTAATTTTATGCTTATAAAGATAAAACAAATGAATTTTATTCAAAATGTTACTCAGAATAACAAAAACTAAAATGTATGCCAATTAAAACTTTTTATAAGGACTTTTCTAAAGGGTATATCAAAAGTGCATTAGCATTATATACAGTGTGTATATATATACACTGTACATATATATTGTAACTGTATTTATTATATACAGTTTTGATAAGTCTGGTCCAGTAGAGGGAATCAATACTGCTTCTTTCCAAGTCAATGGATTAGGGGAAGAGGATTAATCAGGTGGTGACTCAGATCCTGGATTTCATGCTGCTATTTTGTTTTTCTTTGGGGTCATCTAAAATCCATTTATTTTACAATTCATACATGGTGTCATTGCTGTTCATAAGAATAAATATATGCTGCTTGTTTATTACATCTGATATTTTCAAATACATACAATGTAATTTGCAGCATTATACCAATCTCTGCATACAGAAGGACATCAAATTGAACATTTGCTTTGGAAGTAATTTTCACCTATAGATCAGCCTATGTATGTCTACATGATTGTTTGCTTTTTATTTTAAAGTTTAATGAATCTTGAATTTAGCATCTTAGTAATTATAAGGATCAAGTAATTCAGATAAGTTACTTATTATTTAAAGATTACTGAAAATAATTATTTTATTTATGCACATAAATAAAATAATACAGTACTATTAAATAAGTCTACTTTATAATTTTTTTGGCACAACTATTTTATTATATTCTAAAATCATCACATTAAAAATATATATGTTCAGTTCTGTTTTTACACAATTTATTTTGTAAAAACAGAATACAATTCTAATACATTTGCTCTAAGTATAAATACATTTTCTTAGAATTCAAATGGAGATTTTAAAAAAGGCAATTTTCTAGAAAAACAAATGTAAAAAGANGAACTCATCTGCTAGCACTTTCAGTAGTATATAACTACCGTCTTCAGGCGGTCTATCGAATACAACAGCTTAAGATTTTCGAACACTTATCTGATGGTTTCTCAAATTTCAGATTTTCGAAATTATTGAACAATATTTCTGTCGAATTAACTGATTTTTTCGTTTTCGAATGTTATTTAAAAATCTTTTTATGCATCATAGCACATGGAACGAAAACAGTTTTACTTAAGCATGTTTTAGGAAGAATAAGGCCGTAAAAGAGCCCAGAACATGCATAAAGTATAAGATATGTCAAAAAGACATCCGAGTAGCAAAGACTTCAACATCGTGGATTTAGTTTGTTTAAAGGCTGTTACCCAAAGTTCTGGTAATTCGAGAGTTGGGGAGTTGCACGGTTCAGTGGCTGAAATATAGAGACTCTCCCAAATAAATAGCTCTTTATGTTCGTTGCAGCCTTTCAGTAATTTTGTTTTGTTCCAGAGCGGCTGGTAATTGTGGTCAAGCACTTTCTTTGCTAACTCTGTAACTGGCCTGCCGTTTTTGATGTCGTCTTGATGTTCAAGAATATGTGAACATAACCTTCTAGTTGTGGCCCCTACATCATTGTTTTCTTCATCTGGCACTGTGTGTTTTAGCTGGTCTTGGTTGCTTGCTGTTTTTTTGTTCCATTTCTGTTTTTTCTTCTCTTTTCCTAGTCGTCTTTTTTTCCTTGTTGGTGGTGTTTTTTGTAGGAGGAGTTCTTTATTTTTTATCATGTGTTGTTTTTTTCTGGTTATTGGCGCTCTATATTTGCTTTTCTTTTCTTCTGTTTTCCTTTTTAGTTATTTCTGCTTTCTTTTCTTTTTTTTTCTTAACACCTTTTTGTAGCATTTTCCATTTTTAGGTTGCATTTCTTTCATTTTTGCTGGTATTTTTAGTGCTGACTGTTTTGTTTTCCCCTTGTGATTGGGTCGAAGTCTGAGGGTATTCCTCTTTTTTGATAGGGACTGGTATCATTTTTGTGGTGTGTTGGGTGTTTAGCAGTTGCTGGTACGATTTGCATTGTTTTGTTATTTCTCTGGTTATGTAGGGGCCACAACTAGAAGGTTATGTTCACATATTCTTGAACATCAAGACGACATCAAAAACGGCAGGCCAGTTACAGAGTTAGCAAAGAAAGTGCTTGACCACAATTACCAGCCGCTCTGGAACAAAACAAAATTACTGAAAGGCTGCAACGAACATAAAGAGCTATTTATTTGGGAGAGTCTCTATATTTCAGTCACTGAATCGTGCAACTCCCCAACTCTCGAATTACCAGAACTTTGGGTAACAGCCTTTAAACAAACTAAATCCATGATGTTGAAGTCTTTGCTACTCGGATGTCTTTTTGACATATCTTATACTTTATGCATGTTCTGGGCTCTTTTACGGCCTTATTCTTCCTAAAACATGCTTAAGTAAAACTGTTTTCGTTCCATGTGCTATGATGCATAAAAAGATTTTTAAATAACATTCGAAAACGAAAAAATCAGTTAATTCGACAGAAATATTGTTCAATAATTTCGAAAATCTGAAATTTGAGAAACCATCAGATAAGTGTTCGAAAATCTTAAGCTGTTGTATTCGATAGACCGCCTGAAGACGGTAGTTATATACTACTGAAAGTGCTAGCAGATGAGTTCTTTTCTAAGGTCGGATGAGTTCATTCTCCAAGACTCCACTCCTGTAATGCCACAACACGTAAGTGTTATAATCATATAATAACTTCGATGGCGTGAAGTGTCATTGTATACTATATCAAAAATAATAGCCATAAACAATACCTAATTTATATTTTGAACTTTATTCACAATGGATAATTCCATTCTTGTATTTGAAAAGTATAGATAGATGAACGTTTGAAATATGGAGCTTTCTGCTATATTGTTCTAACATTTCAGTAAGAACCATTATCAACATTAATTTCCTTAACTGGATTTTAGAGATAAAGAAAATGGAAAAAGTGTCGATTACCGACCACAAAGTCTCGTATATGTTCAAGGAATGGAAACGCAAGCATTAGTAAATTTTCTTTTGAATACAAAACTATGTTTCTCTAAAACAGGACCACTAACGGGCATTCCACCAACACTTCTTTCTCCAACTGCTTTTCATGGTGGATCACTTCAATCTGTAAAGGTTAGTGTTTGAGAAAATAATAATTGTTATTCTTTACTTGCATTAAAAAAGAAATTGATACATCTATAATTAAGTATTTACTGTATATTTCTGCAGATAAGATGAGGTATAAATTTTCGTCAAAGTTTTATAGTTTTATAGTTTTAGCATATATCTGTCCTATAAGACAGCCCCCAAACTATCAAAGGCCTATGAATTTAGTTTAGATCAGCAATCATCATCTGGATAATAATAATGTATACGGAATTATGTCCTATTCGTAATTTTTTGGATGAACAAATTTTATTTTCTTGTATCTGGCAGCACTGTCTTGCGATTGTTGCAAACGTTCGCACTGATTCGGGCATTTGGGTAATGACCTTGACTATTCACAAAAATGTCTTATGGGCTATTCTATTTTGTGGACATACCCTACTCTCTACGAGTAAATAATTAGTTTTTCCGTTTTTTTATAATGATTTTAATTTATATAAATTTCAATCTAATTTTTTTTTTATCTGTCCTATAAGATGTCCCTGGATTTTGGGGGCTTTTTTTTATGATTCAACTATAGTCTTATCTATGGAAATATACAGTAATAATATAAAGTAAACATTAAATCAAATTTTGATTTGACTATATTTAAATCTCACGCTAATACCTGTAATCCAGTTAAAAAGAACCAGATTTATTATAAAAACAAACATTTTCAACTGTCTTTAATAGCCATTGTCAAGTTATAGCCTTATAAAAAAAATTTAAATAAAAAGGAACTCTAAATTTGTGCTGGTGGTCACATGCAAAGAAGAATGGTAAAGAAAAATTAAAAGAAACAGCTTTTTCTTTCTTTCTTTCTTTTTTTGTTACTTTTATTTATATGTACTTAAATTACAAAACAATGAAGTGGGTTAAATAATTTTAACCGGATTACAGGTATTGGTGTATGCTTTTATTATAATCTCAACCAGTTTTACAGTATCTCTCTGACTATATTGTATCATTAAAGAAAATTTTTAAACTTTTGAACTAGTCTAGTATCAACTCATAAAACTTTATTTTTTAACTATAGTAATTTTATAGCTATAAAATCATAAAATATTCAGATTTTTCTACGGAATGTTTTGATGATGAAAACTAAAATGATTCTCTATTTGTAGAACATGTAAACTAATATTGTATTTAAACATTCAAAGTAAGAAAAGACATACTGATAATATGACATTTAACATTTTGACTAGTAAAAAAAAATGTAAAATTATAAAAATTAAATTTCACACATTTTCACAATTAGGTTACCATAGATTGTATATTAACACACACATTCAGCTTTTTAAGCTAAATTCTTAAATTACTAATGTACAAGAAATATTGCTTTTTATATATAAAGTGGATGCTACTTATTAAAATTACATTTGTTATCATCCTCTTATTGTGATTGTTTTCAAAATCCCAGAATATTCTTGCATTTTCTATGCCAAAATTTAGTGTGAAGTTTACAACAAACTGTGTATTAGTGATACCAGCGTAAGCTATTGCAGACATCTATAAGTGGTCTTGCATACTATGTTGTGTTAGCTGCTTTACTCTCTCCCTCTCCAAGAGAGCAGTTGTTTACACAAACAGATGAGATGTAGGACAAAATCTAGAACTTGCAGATCAGTAGCAGTTTGGATGTTGTTAACATACCATGCTTCACTTCATGCATTCATGCATCACTTTAAATGTTGCTTTTACAACATTTCTGGAAATGTATTAAAATATGTAAAAGAACAAATGGAAGTTTTTAAAAATAATTTCTTCAGAACAACTCTTGATATTTCCCATGATTTATAAGAAGCAACAGAAATACCACAAACCACAGTTGAAATACATTAAGATTAACAAATTCAGAATTACCTGTATAGTAAACATGCACAGGGTGATGAATTGTGCAACCCGAAACAGGAAATGTCTCGAAAACAGAGGGAAATATTTAAAATAATGTTTGTTTTGAAGGGAAACAAGGGTACATATTTTTTACATAGGCAGTTTGTACCTAACTTTTGGTAATAATTTCATTTTGTTATTTACATTTGTCTGTTTTCAACCTTCAATGGTTCATAAAACAAATATGGTTACTTTTTGACATAATCACTGTGAAGATTGAGGCATTTGTCATATCTATGGACAAGCTTTGCAATAGAATGTTGCCACCAGTGACTTGAGATGGGCCCTAATGTTGTTTTGTAGATTGACATTAGTCTCTAACCTCTGCCCTCCTAGCCACGTTTTTGGTTCGGGAGATGGAAGTCGTCACACATTAAAGGTGTGTGACAACTTCCACCCAGCTTGGAACTTTTTAAACACCCAGTGTCTAGCCCAGATTTAGCACCAAGTGACTTTCACCTCTTTCCTGAACTGAAAACGTGGCTAGGAGGGCAAAGGTTTGAGACTAATGACGATCTTCAAAATGTTAAGGCCCATGGTGAGCCATTGGTGGCAACATTCTATGAAGAGGGATTGCAAAGCTTGTCCACAGATATGACAAATGCCTCAATCTTCATGGTGATTATGACGAAAGGTAACCATGTTTGTACCTAAAATGAATTTATTACTGAAAGTTATGTACACTTGTCTTTGTTTTATGGACCATAGGAGATTGACACATCAAACACATTGAAAAAACTGCCCTCATATTTTTTCAAAGGTCAATTCATTATTTTCAAATGGAAACCTAAATCTTTTGTAGTGGCATTTGATTCTATGCAAAACAAATGACTTTAGACTGAAACATTTTTTTTTTTTTTTTTTGTTTAGTTTTCACATTTCAGTTTTAAAAGGTTAACAAAATTTCTCTTTCCAAAGTTGAAAAGCAATTTTTAATTGCTAAAACATAAATCAATCTAACAAGTGTTCAGAAAGATGGCCTTCAACCTCCATACATTTTTCAATAGGTTCAAGAAAAGATTGGTGACAGGTTAAGTGTTCCTTGAGGAATATTTTTGCAGTATTTCATATTCATTCTTACTTATTTTCTGGTGGTAGGTACATTTTGGTATGCCTTTCCATTGATATGTCCCCATAAAGAAAAGTCAAGCGATGTTAAATTAAGTGGCATCTAGCGAGCCAAGATATTGGACCACTACGTCCTATCTGACGACCATCGTAACACCGAGGTAATGCTCGTCGGGCAGCCTGCGAATAATATGCCGGACAGCCATGGTACTGAAACCGTACAGTTGGCCTTTCTTGTATATTCAGATCTTCAGATCTTCAAGCCATAATAGTAATTCATCAATGAGAAATGCCAATTGTCTCTTCTCACTTACTTTGCACAAACATTGTTCCTACAGTAAGTGGAAGAGTAGAATGACAAAGAAAATGATGGCAACAAAATTTAAATTTAAGTAAACCAATTTCTATTTGTATAATACCAAAATCTATATTTTAGAATTTTTTAATTTAAGTTTTTTTAAGAATATGATGAGTCTAAAATATTTTGTTTGTTTGATGGGATGTGTAACACAAGACTGATGTTTCATGGAGGGATACATCAATCTTTGGACTGTTGTTTAACACTTAAATAGGAGTTAGTTTCCAAAGTTTTCCAGATTTTCTTCAAGTGTCTAAGCCCGACCAATGGGCTGGCTGCATGAACTGAGATATGACTAATTGCCACTGTTCAATGATATTACAGTAGAGCCTCGATTATCCGACTGTCCTAGTCGGCAAATTTCAAATGTTTGCTAGTGATGCGACGCGACGCTACAATATTTGGCTATGTCTTGGCTACTTTAATATTATTTTTGTGTGTTTTAGCTGGCAACACTCATTCGACCATGAAAGGAAGACAGTATTTAAACGAGGCTTAATTTTCTAATTTTTAACAATACAATAGCGGCGATTATTATTTTTAAAAATTTTTGTTAGGCTTAACATCGATGAAAATTCAACGCAAAGTAGGTTAATAGCGATATACTAATTACATGGGATATAATAATATACTACACTAATAATAGATTTTTTCATACTTTTCGGTTATCCGACCAACCCCAGTCCCCAATTGAGTCGGATAATTGAGGCTCTACTGTAATTGACTACTGTTGATGGGTCTCTTTACAATGATTTATAATCAAATAGAGATTACTTTCTTTGGTTAGTGAAACTAGTTGTGTGTTTGAGACACTTGCATCATCAATGAAGATATGACAAATATTTCTGGGAAAAAATCTTTTATATTCATTGAAAACAATTTTGTGAAAGGGATTTAAAGTGTAAAATTAGGTATTATGATTTTTATTAAGTAAAGAAACTTTTGCAAACATAAATAATAGAATAAAACTAGATTTTGATGTATAAATTAAAGCTAATTGTTAAAAAATCTGATAGAATATTTTTAATTTTTTAATTTCTTTCTTTCTTTCAGGTGCGTCAAGGCAACGTTAAACATAACAATGTAAATCAACACGTAATAGAACTGAACGGTCCCATTTTCCCTAGTACGTTGCACAGGCTCTGCCATTTGCTTCGTCAGACGCAAGACGGAAACTACAAGTCTCTACTTCTCTCGCACAGACCCACCAATCCGTTTTGCTCTGTGCTACCATGTCACGAAGAGTCTTCTTTTTCTGCTTTTGCAATAGAAAATCTGAAGGACTGTGGAATATGTAAAGACACCTTACAGTGGATGTGTGCCAAACGCTCTGCAGACAAGACTGGCCTGAATGAAATTATTTCAATAAATGGCCTGTACAAGTGTACTTGAACAACTTAAACACTCGCAATGAAGCTCAACCTTAAGTAAATATATTTTTTTATTAAGCTGCCACTGTTTACAGAAAATGAATTTGCATTTTATGCAAAGATTATATTGATAAATTATTTTAATTCTGTTGATCACAAATAGCTTGTTTTTACTCAAAAAAATCATTCAAAATGCAATACATAAGGTTTCTATAATGAACAAAAAGAGTTGACAAAGTCATTCTGATTTTGTGTAGAATTATGCAAAATCTTAGATAACCAATCATTTCCTACTTTTTAGTACTGACAGTTGCATGACAAAAAATTTAAAAGTATACACTTGCAAAGCAATCAAATTTCTCTTGATACAAAACTTCAAACATGCTAACAACAATCCTTTCATAATGCTGAATATAAAAGTGAAAACAGAAAATTTTCTACATCAAATGGACTTTTCACAATAAATTAAATTATATTACTAATTTATAGTGTTGCCCCAATTGAAATTTGAAATTTTTAATGTCAAACGTTATCTGAGCTCTTCAAAATGCTTTGATGAACACAAAAATGAATTCTCTCTCCTTTTTAAGAGCTACCTGGAAGGAGGTGTTGAAAGCTCATCAGTTCGGCTGCCGTCAGAGGTCGGGCTTCTTCGTATATTCTGTTAATTGGAAAACTCCCTCTGAAACGACTCTGGTGGTGAACGATCCTCTTCTCTTTGCAGACTCTTTCGCTGGTCACGGGCGTGGACAACAAGAGCGATTCTATCTGGCCCAGCATCAGCGGAGAACTGCTCGTGGTCGTGCTGACCATCGGCGCCTTATCGTTCTTTTCTTGAGAATTATTCTGGTTGTCTATGTCAGGAACGACTTGAAACGGTCCGCCGGTTATTAGCCACCTAAAATATATATTTTAATTAAACTTCAAAATAACATCTTAATTAAGTCTATCGTAAAAGTTTACACTTAATTACCATTGACAGCAAATGGAATGTACGGAGTCCAAAACTTGTTCGGCTGTCAAACGTTTATTTGCTTCCAAAACTAACAGATTTTTTATGAGTGTTACGGTGTTTTCTGAAACACGAGCCTCGCTACAAATTTTTAAAAATTAGTAGTATTAGTATTAAACTTTTTATATCTCATATATTGCTTCAAAATTATAATATAAAAATATTTATATTTTTATTTATTAAAAACAATAGAAATAATAAGATGATTTAAAAATATATATTTTTTCTAACAGCAAGTAAAAATAAAATAATAAATATACGACTTTTTCGCACAGGCAAACACCTTGCTTTTGTCCTCCTTTTTTGCCATTACACCATCAGCCATCCTTAAATATTCACATAGTTATGGAGACGACCTTTTCTAGGCCACTGCCTCCGTAAAAACATGTAAAAATATAACAACAGGTAAAGCGTCCTCTGGTGTTCTTTGCCACTATCATAACACTATTACATTTAAATGTAAAAAAAACAACAAAAAAGGAGGACAAAAACAAGTTGTTTGCCTGTGAAAAAGTCATATTTTTATTTATTAAATGTAAATGCAGTAGAGCATCAATTGTCCAACCCCTGATTAACCAACCATTCTAGTCAGCAAATTTCAAATGTCCGCTAGTGATGTGGCACTACAATATTTGGCTGTGTCTTGGCTACTTTAATATTATTTTTGTTACATTTTTGCGTGTTTTAGCTGGCAGCACTGGCTCAACCATTGAAGGGAGGCCAATATTTAAACGAGACTTAATTTTCTAATTATGAGTGGTTGTTTGTTTTGTGAGCAATAAAATAATTTAAAAATACAATAGCGACAATTATTATTTTTTTAAAGAATTTGCTAGGCTTAACATCAATGAAAATTCAACACAAAGTTGGTTAATAGCAATATACAGTACTAATTACATGGGATATACTAATATACTATACTAATAATGTATTTTTTTCATTCTTTTTGGTTATCTGACCAACCCGAGTCCCCAATTGAGTCGGATAATCGATGCTCTACTGTAGTAAAGGAACATGGCTGGTGCTATTTTTTATATTCAAATTCAGCTATATTTTTGTGTCTTTTTCTTGCACAACACACAGCATTAGAATTAATCATTTATACAGTATTATCTTTTGTTTTGTGCAGTTAGAATTTGAAACAAGCAAAAAAATATTATTAGTTATAAGTTAAGTTGTTATAATCTTGTAAGAGATATATTGCAAAACATTAGGGGTTAGGTTGCAAGAATGTGGGATAGAATCCCTAATATACATGTATTAAAAAATTAAATGGCTACAATGAAGCAAAAATACCTAGGAATTTCATATTCAGCTGCCTTAATTTTCCTGAATAATTCTTGAGGAACAGAATCGTAAAAAGGAAACTGTCCGTATAACATAGTAAATAACACAACTCCCACTGCCCACATGTCGCTTGGTTTTCCTAAATACGGTTTACCTGAAAGCAAATCAAATTATTTTCAATTTATTTTTTAAATATCGTAATCACGATATTCACCGAACGTTGTTACTCACCGCTTAATACGTCGGGACTTATGTACGCGGGGCTACCTCGTTGATCTTTCAATAAATCATTTTCGTTAAGAAGGTGTTTTCCTAAACAGAAATTTGTAATGACAATGCGACGAGTCTTTTTGTTTAATACCATATTACCCAATTTCAAATCTCGGTGTACTATATTTCGCTTTTAAAATATTAATTTTAATATTAATTTCCATCCATATACAATACAGAAATAAATTATTAAAACATTTTAATATTGTCTACTTAAGATTATAGCATATTCCCAAATTACATTTATTTATTTCTATGAAAAATTCATATGCATAATGATCTATTAGTATTTTCTAAACATTGTGTCAAAAATCATACATGTAGACTCTAAGCAGTTGTTGCTTTTTAAATAAAGAATTTAAGTGATTAAGTTTTTTCTTTGTATCTTTGTAGCATGAGAATTACAAGAAGTTACTTGCATTTGAACATAATGAATGCAGGAGAAAAAAACAAAACAAAACAAAACTCTTCTCAGAATTTTCCTAAATATTAAATATTTACATCTCTTATATCATTAATGTTCTCTCTCAGCTGACCAACAATCTCATGCTTTTAACTTAAAATGTCATGTCATAAAATCACAAAGTCCATATTAAATCTGAACATGGATCCCTTGTACCATGTTTCCCCGAAAATAAGACATCCTCTGAAAATAAGACCTAACATAGGTTTTGCTGAATTGCTAAATATAAGGCCTCCCCCAAAAGTAAGACATAGCAAAGTTTTTTTACTTGTAACGGTCATCGACAGATGGTTGAAAGTGGCCATTGGCTTTTTGAAAGTACAGCCACTGATTGGTCGCAGACAATCACACCACACGGCATGATTTGCATAAAACTATGGCTTGGGAATCACAGATTTGCATAACGTTACGGCTGGTGGTGGCTAATTGGTCGGCTGGGAATCACGCCACAATGACATTTTTAATAGAGCTATGGTTCAGTAAGCACTAATTGGTCATCGAGCCTGATGTCGACGCTATAAAATAGTTAAATTGAAGTGAGAGTGGGAAGTCCACTCCAGCATGGGAACTTCGTAAGTTCAGTTCGACACGACCAGATAAACGTTACTCTTGTCTAAGTTCGACTTTGAATTTTTTGTTCAATAATAAATGTGAATTCTTCTTCATGGAAAAAATAAGACATTCCCTGAAAATAAGACCTAGTGCATCTTTCAGAGCAAAAATTAATATAAGACACTGTCTTATTTTCGGGGAAACACGGTAGTTTATCATTCACCATCCAGTCAACTTCTTTGAAAGAATACATTTCTTGTAAATAAAATAATACAGTACTATTAAATAAGTCTACTTTATAATTTTTTTGGCACAACTATTTTATTATATTCTAAAATCATCACATTAAAAATATATATGTTCAGTTCTGTTTTTACACAATTTATTTTGTAAAAACAGAATACAATTCTAATACATTTGCTCTAAGTATAAATACATTTTCTTAGAATTCAAATGGAGATTTTAAAAAAGGCAATTTTCTAGAAAAACAAATGTAAAAAGAAATTTTTTTTTAAATTCAAGCAGCCTTAAATGTGAATTGTATGTGTATAGTGACAAAGCTGTTTTCCATCTAGACACATCCAAAGCAAGCAAACAATGATGTAGTCTCTTTTATACGAAACTAGCAGGTAGGCCCGGCGTTGCTCGGGCAAAAGTAACGATAGCAAAGATTAAGATTATTATGTTATAGTCAACCTTACCCGTTCTCACAGAATGCAAGAATTGGGTCCCCATGTTTCCAGACTAATTAGAGAATTTTTAGATGGGTCTAAAAATATGTTCGATTTCCCGCAAAAACGAAAAAAAACTGCATCCGCATCTTGCATGTCGCTTTCTCTTAATTAACAATTCCATTGTTACGTAACACTTCCATTGTTGACACTTTCATTGTTACTTAACACTTCCATTGTTGATGGAAGTGTTAAGCCTTAATCCTGTCTCTCTCCCCCGGGGGAGGAATTTCAAAAAATCCCTTCTTAGTGTGCATTTTCGTGTTGTACCCTAACTGTGTACCAAATTTCAACCTTCAACTCCTATCCGTTTCGGATCTGCGCTTATTATTATTATTATCAACCCATCTCGATTATATATATATATATATATATATAGATGGATTGTCATTAGTTTGCTTCGATCATATTTAACTTGAAGTTTGACAATTTGTCTATATGATTGCATTTCTTGGGATTTCTTTCAATACAGAATATTTTTTTTTATACCATTTGATGTTTAATTGAAAAACTCAAATAACAAAATTATAATAAAATTTGTGAAAGTAATATAAATTTATTAAATTGTGCTGCTGATAAATCAGAAAAGGGACAATTGTAACTAAAATAGGATATGTTTAATCATATTTTGTTTTTAAAGTATAGAACCAATCTTGTTTTTTTTTCCATACGGACAGTATCTTTTTCGCTCGGCTTTTTGGGAACATCCACCACGTAAAAACAGAACTGGACGTACATACAAATTTTTAAAATTTTGAGTACAGGCTCCATATATTTTATAATGGTTTAAAAAATTAATTATTATTCATACATTAATTTAGATATAATGCACTCTTGCTTACCTAAATTAACTTTTGTACAGGATTGTCTGGATTAGCAAGGTTATATTAGAAAAGGAAGTCAAAAAAAGATTACAATAAAAATATATTAAAAATTAATATACAATACTGTATAAACAATTTTTAAAATTCATTATTTACTTTTCAAAAGTAATCTGAGATTGTTTTTGGTTGCAATGTTTACTGGAAAAGTGAACAAAATTAATTAGATTAGCAAGAGTGCAATGTATTTCTAAAATTTTATAACTTAATTCCTGTATTGATATATATTTACTTACTTTATGAAGGGCACAGACAATTCTAACAACATCGTGAAATATTAACATTGCTTCTCTTTCGGGTAATTTCTTTTCTTTAATCACGTAATGCTGCATGTTTACCATATCGGCCGTGCGCGTACCGAAATCGTGAGCGCAGAGACAATCTAGTACCAAACACAGTCGCTTCTTTTTCCTTCCCGTGTAAACAAGTTCGGCTGTAGATAATTCTTTCTCTTCCCAAGCTTCATCCTATAAAATACATAATTGATTGAAAATTTATTATAATAATACTTTAAATTCATAACAAGTTTAAACCAAAACAGTTTTGTAAATTAAATTTAATCATTTTAACAGTACTGAAATAATTTAAATTTTAACATAAATAACACTATTTCAAAATATAAACAATTTATTTATTTAAAACTTCATTATCTAATTATATTTAAATGGTTTGTAGTTTAAAATGAAAAATTTGTTGTTGACTGTCTTTCTACTCCAATATAATGTATTTTCTATGGAGTCAAAAATTAAATTTAAAAATTTTACCTTCCAATAACTTATTTTACTTTTTTAATGCAAACAAAAAAAATCAAGTTAACATGCTTCAATAATTAAATGTTATTAAAAAAACTTTTTTAAATTATAAAACAACAGGAAATCTCATTATCAATCTTATTTTTTACAATTTAAAAATTAACTTAGGTAAAAATAGATAACTGTATACAATATTTGTCTACTGAAATTATATAACAAGTTTAGTATCAATAGAAATTATTTACTTTTGGATTTATCAAATAAAATAGCAGTGTTTATTCAAATCAGATTAAACCAATTAGAGTATTGAAGGAAAATTATACAGAAAATCTTGCTCTTTAATGCTTAATATATTTAAAATTAAAATACTACTTTATTACAGTTGATTGATATAAAAATCGCAAACTTTTTCGGTTCTTTAGACATGTCTTTGAGGAACAGTCTGTTAAATAATATTCAATACTTGCATATTTTTAAGTTAAATGTAAATATTTTGTCACATACACAAAAAATTTACTATTGCTAAAATAGAACAAAAAAAAGAATTTAAAACATTCTCCACGCAAGTTGCATTGTCTAAGAGTAAAATGCGATTACTGTTTATTTGTTTTCACATAATTATACTGGAATTGGAAATTACATATTTGTCATGTTTAATGATTATTTTAAAAAAATAAACAGTAAATACTGTATTTACTCGCATATAAGACGAGATTTTTATTCATTTTTCACTGCTTCAAAAACCTAGGTCGTCCTATACACGCGAGCGAAGGATTCTTTGAATTTTTGCAATAATTTTTATGAACAGCGTATTCGTAGTTTTTACCGGATGCTCACCCTCTGGTATTTATCTGGGTTGTTTGAATCGATCTTGCATATTGTCAGGAGTAAAGATGAATAGTAGTAGGAAAAGTAAAGCTTTTCAATTGAATTCCAAATTTAAATTCCAAAATCAGATGGAAGCCCAATATAAGTTTTAATCCATTCCCATGTAAAAACAGATGATTATTCAGAAATCAGAATTTGGAGAAACCCATAAGTGTAATCGACGAAGAGTGATTCAACTGTTAAGAACTGGCAAAAAAGATACCCGATTGTCCAGCTTCACGTGAACAAATTATGTGGTCGATTTTACAAGATTTTTCTTTAAAGTTTAAAATGCCAGTAATTTTTGTGGGACATTGTGTGCATTTACGTGCAGTTGATATTTTATTTGTGATTAAACAAAATAAAATTAGAAATGTATTAAATCTAATATTCTTTATTTTGGTCTTTAAAGTTACATCTTGTCCTACATGCGAGATTGTCTTATATACAAGTAAATACAGTAGATACACATCTATAATTATTAAATAATAATTACTACTATATCATCCAAAAATAGACCTTATTCTGTGAACTGCATCTCACAAACAATGAGAAATTCTAAACAGCATTCAAACAAAATTTTAAACATTTTTGTTTGATTCATATTCTATTCCTAACTTGTTCATTCTTGGTAAATTTATTTGTTATAATAAAAACGTGTGAACTATTTATTTTATATTTGTTTTGCTCATACTGTAATCTTAACACAAGACAATTTTCAAATTTAACATTAAAACATATTTTAATAGTGTTTAAAATTGTTTTAATAACTTAATGTTCAAAATAATTGAAAGAATTAATTTTATTACATTTCACATAACTGAATTGAGCCAACTTTTTTATTGAGGTCTTGGGTTTTTAAGAAAACAGAATAATAAAGTAGAGCATCGATTATCCGACCCTCGATCAACCGTCACATCGGTTAACCGAATGCGTTCTAGTCGGCAAATTCAAATGTCTGCTAGTGATGTGGCACTACAATATTTGGCTATATCTTGGCTACTTTAATACTATTTTTACGTGTTTTAGCTGGCAATACTGGCTCGAATTAAAAGGGAGCCAGTATTTAAACAAGGCTTAATTTTCTAATTTTTAACAATACAATAGTGACGATTATTATTTTAAAAAATTTTTGTTAGGGTTTTAACATTGATGAAAATTCAACGCAAAGTAGGTTAATAGTGATATACTAATTACATGGGATATACTAATATACTATACTAATAATGTATTTTTCCATTTATCCGACCAACCCCAGTCCCCAATTGGGTCGGATAATCAATGCTCTATTGTAGTTTCATTCTGTTACACAAATAATTTAAATAAATGATTTTTTTTTATCAAATTATAATGTTCTTAGAAAAAAATATATCTGTTACTTTTGGATTTTGCATTTTATTGTGTTCACCTCTGTTTAAAATCATGTAAGAAGAGTGGATAATTAGAATTATAATATCGATCCTTTTTTGCTAGCCCATTTAAGGGTCATTGACTTTTGGACAAGTCACTATTTCATTATTGATTAATTTTGCATCAAAAAAGTGATTTGATAAGTCACTTTTTCTATGCAAAATTAGTTAATTGTACATTTTCAGTTGAAAAATAAAAGTTTTGGGATATCAAGCAATAGCACTTTCTGCCATTTTTGATTTTTAACAGTAAAATCATTTGTGAAAATTAATTCTTATTGTTTATTTTCAGTGTAATCTATGGCTTTAATGTTTTATGCATTATAACAATTTTTTTTACAATGAATGCGTGTGACACATCCAACATTCCTACCTTAATAACAATTTTATAATTTTTCTTTTTAGTTTTCTAAGAATAGAACTTATTTTAATTGTGGAATCTTATTATTTGACTGTTTTCATACATTTTTGGGAAGGCATTACATCTGAAAGACAATGCCTCTATATATGTAATTTTTTTACCTACTACTATAAGTTTTCCACATTATTTGTTTATTAAACCATTTCCTGCCCTCTGTTTAAATATCTTGATTCGTAAGAAGGAATGGAATTTTACCATCTCGGAATTTTTCTATAATTATTCAAAGTTAGGGGTATTTGGCTCGATATATCTCGATATTAATTCTTCTTACATAGACATATTCAGCTATATGTAGCAAATTTTAAAAACTCATATATAGTTAAATGCCTATTTAATTAATTCAACAACTTTAATAATAATAAAATACCTTGAATAATCCATGATGATGAACAACACCATCTTGATCGTGAAGCAACGATAATAAAGAATATTCCGTATGGAGTAACATTTTACCCTGACGATCATCTTGCGTTTCCTCTGATGGATTTTGCAATGTCAAAATCTATAAGAAAAAGTTATTACTACTTTAGAAATTATACAATATATTAAGCCAATTAAGTCTGTAACAGCATTGAAAGAGTATAATATTAATTTAAAATATAATAAATTCAACAATATTTAATTTTTACAAAAATTTCAATTTAATAAAAATAATTTGAAAATGAACTTTAAAAATAATATAAAAAATGTAAGTCATTCTAAAAAGCAAATGTAATAAAACCTGATATAATTTCAATAAAATTAGATGAATAATTTTTCAGTGATAGGAATTAATACTTTCATTCTGATGCATTAATCGTATAATACTTCCAACATTTTCTCTATCCCATCAATAAAGTTAGTATTTTTGAAAGAAAAATTATGAATAGGGACTAAAATATGATACATTTTTTAGCATTTTAGAAACATCCTTAAACAGGAATCTACAAATAAACATTTCATTTTCTGAAGTATATATCATTACATATTGATTACAGAATATATAATGATAAATATTTCAGATTACACGTAATAAATACTTTAAAAACAATACATACTCTTATATTTTCATATAAAATATTCAAGTTTTTATTTTCATAAAAGCTATTTGCATTTTAAATCTATATTTTCATAAAAAGTGAATCTAATCAATTTAGTTATTTACATTTTAAGATACGAAGAGTTGTCATCTAGAACTATATATATATATATACACACACACACACTACTCTTCGTCCACTTTTTTCTCAGTTAAAGAATTATTTATTCTTCAGTAATTAGAAATAATGATTAAACAAATAAAATAAATTTATAGATCTATGTAAAATTCAATTATTTGATTAACTCATTGAATTTTAAATTGATAAACAACTTCATTATAGAGAATTAATATTTTTAGTGCAAACAATTCTATTAGCGATATTTGGAACAAATTCCAGTTACAAGGAGTACATTGGCTTACAAATACTAGTGAATATATAATATATCTTCCGACAATAAATAATTATTATGTAAATTATCTTCTATTCATACATTTAAACAATCAAGTGACATAATATTGGATAGAAGTAACAACAACAATAAAAGTAAATTTATAAATCATTCATTAAGACTCTCAACCATTTTAATATATTTAATAAAGAACTGATATATTCTGGTAATCATAATTGATCCCATCTGAAATATTTTTTGGTAGAATTCTTGCATAGATTTGATGGCTGACAAGGTGGAAATACCAGTCTGTTCTCTAAATTTGGAACAACCCTTGCACAAACTAATTATATGATATACAGAAATTTGGTCATTACACAGCCTACATTGTTTATTCCTGATATCCAAATAATTCCCTTCAACTATNGATTTAAAAATATATATTTTTTCTAACAGCAAGTAAAAATAAAATAATAAATATACGACTTTTTCGCACAGGCAAACACCTTGCTTTTGTCCTCCTTTTTTGCCATTACACCATCAGCCATCCTTAAATATTCACATAGTTATGGAGACGACCTTTTCTAGGCCACTGCCTCCGTAAAAACATGTAAAAATATAACAACAGGTAAAGCGTCCTCTGGTGTTCTTTGCCACTATCATAACACTATTACATTTAAATGTAAAAAAAACAACAAAAAAGGAGGACAAAAACAAGTTGTTTGCCTGTGAAAAAGTCATATTTTTATTTATTAAATGTAAATGCAGTAGAGCATCAATTGTCCAACCCCTGATTAACCAACCATTCTAGTCAGCAAATTTCAAATGTCCGCTAGTGATGTGGCACTACAATATTTGGCTGTGTCTTGGCTACTTTAATATTATTTTTGTTACATTTTTGCGTGTTTTAGCTGGCAGCACTGGCTCAACCATTGAAGGGAGGCCAATATTTAAACGAGACTTAATTTTCTAATTATGAGTGGTTGTTTGTTTTGTGAGCAATAAAATAATTTAAAAATACAATAGCGACAATTATTATTTTTTTAAAGAATTTGCTAGGCTTAACATCAATGAAAATTCAACACAAAGTTGGTTAATAGCAATATACAGTACTAATTACATGGGATATACTAATATACTATACTAATAATGTATTTTTTTCATTCTTTTTGGTTATCTGACCAACCCGAGTCCCCAATTGAGTCGGATAATCGATGCTCTACTGTAGTAAAGGAACATGGCTGGTGCTATTTTTTATATTCAAATTCAGCTATATTTTTGTGTCTTTTTCTTGCACAACACACAGCATTAGAATTAATCATTTATACAGTATTATCTTTTGTTTTGTGCAGTTAGAATTTGAAACAAGCAAAAAAATATTATTAGTTATAAGTTAAGTTGTTATAATCTTGTAAGAGATATATTGCAAAACATTAGGGGTTAGGTTGCAAGAATGTGGGATAGAATCCCTAATATACATGTATTAAAAAATTAAATGGCTACAATGAAGCAAAAATACCTAGGAATTTCATATTCAGCTGCCTTAATTTTCCTGAATAATTCTTGAGGAACAGAATCGTAAAAAGGAAACTGTCCGTATAACATAGTAAATAACACAACTCCCACTGCCCACATGTCGCTTGGTTTTCCTAAATACGGTTTACCTGAAAGCAAATCAAATTATTTTCAATTTATTTTTTAAATATCGTAATCACGATATTCACCGAACGTTGTTACTCACCGCTTAATACGTCGGGACTTATGTACGCGGGGCTACCTCGTTGATCTTTCAATAAATCATTTTCGTTAAGAAGGTGTTTTCCTAAACAGAAATTTGTAATGACAATGCGACGAGTCTTTTTGTTTAATACCATATTACCCAATTTCAAATCTCGGTGTACTATATTTCGCTTTTAAAATATTAATTTTAATATTAATTTCCATCCATATACAATACAGAAATAAATTATTAAAACATTTTAATATTGTCTACTTAAGATTATATCATATTCCCAAATTACATTTATTTATTTCTATGAAAAATTCATATGCATAATGATCTATTAGTATTTTCTAAACATTGTGTCAAAAATCATACATGTAGACTCTAAGCAGTTGTTGCTTTTTAAATAAAGAATTTAAGTGATTAAGTTTTTTCTTTGTATCTTTGTAGCATGAGAATTACAAGAAGTTACTTGCATTTGAACATAATGAATGCAGGAGAAAAAAACAAAACAAAACAAAACTCTTCTCAGAATTTTCCTAAATATTAAATATTTACATCTCTTATATCATTAATGTTCTCTCTCAGCTGACCAACAATCTCATGCTTTTAACTTAAAATGTCATGTCATAAAATCACAAAGTCCATATTAAATCTGAACATGGATCCCTTGTACCATGTTTCCCCGAAAATAAGACATCCTCTGAAAATAAGACCTAACATAGGTTTTGCTGAATTGCTAAATATAAGGCCTCCCCCAAAAGTAAGACATAGCAAAGTTTTTTTACTTGTAACGGTCATCGACAGATGGTTGAAAGTGGCCATTGGCTTTTTGAAAGTACAGCCACTGATTGGTCGCAGACAATCACACCACACGGCATGATTTGCATAAGACTATGGCTTGGGAATCACAGATTTGCATAACGTTACGGCTGGTGGTGGCTAATTGGTCGGCTGGGAATCACGCCACAATGACATTTTTAATAGAGCTATGGTTCAGTAAGCACTAATTGGTCATCGAGCCTGATGTCGACGCTATAAAATAGTTAAATTGAAGTGAGAGTGGGAAGTCCACTCCAGCATGGGAACTTCGTAAGTTCAGTTCGACACGACCAGATAAACGTTACTCTTGTCTAAGTTCGACTTTGAATTTTTTGTTCAATAATAAATGTGAATTCTTCTTCATGGAAAAAATAAGACATTCCCTGAAAATAAGACCTAGTGCATCTTTCAGAGCAAAAATTAATATAAGACACTGTCTTATTTTCGGGGAAACACGGTAGTTTATCATTCACCATCCAGTCAACTTCTTTGAAAGAATACATTTCTTGTAAATAAAATAATACAGTACTATTAAATAAGTCTACTTTATAATTTTTTTGGCACAACTATTTTATTATATTCTAAAATCATCACATTAAAAATATATATGTTCAGTTCTGTTTTTACACAATTTATTTTGTAAAAACAGAATACAATTCTAATACATTTGCTCTAAGTATAAATACATTTTCTTAGAATTCAAATGGAGATTTTAAAAAAGGCAATTTTCTAGAAAAACAAATGTAAAAAGAAATTTTTTTTTAAATTCAAGCAGCCTTAAATGTGAATTGTATGTGTATAGTGACAAAGCTGTTTTCCATCTAGACACATCCAAAGCAAGCAAACAATGATGTAGTCTCTTTTATACGAAACTAGCAGGTAGGCCCGGCGTTGCTCGGGCAAAAGTAACGATAGCAAAGATTAAGATTATTATGTTATAGTCAACCTTACCCGTTCTCACAGAATGCAAGAATTGGGTCCCCATGTTTCCAGACTAATTAGAGAATTTTTAGATGGGTCTAAAAATATGTTCGATTTCCCGCAAAAACGAAAAAAACTGCATCCGCATCTTGCACGTCGCTTTCTCTTAATTAACAATTCCATTGTTACGTAACACTTCCATTGTTGACACTTTCATTGTTACTTAACACTTCCATTGTTGATGGAAGTGTTAAGCCTTAATCCTGTCTCTCTCCCCCGGGGGAGGAATTTCAAAAAATCCCTTCTTAGTGTGCATTTTCGTGTTGTACCCTAACTGTGTACCAAATTTCAACCTTCAACTCCTATCCGTTTCGGATCTGCGCTTATTATTATTATTATCAACCCATCTCGATTATATATATATATATATATAGGGTTAGGTTGCAAGAATGTGGGATA